CCAACTCTGAAGCCAGACGGAACTCCGTTCCTGTGCGTTCCTGCCCAAAAATAGCCCTGGGGTAGATAGATGCTTCTTTTCTCCGGTGCACAAACACGTATAGGGATGCCGCATGAACACGGAGACCCCGTGCCACGTACACCTTGCCCCTGCACAAAAGTAAGATGTATATATGTTCAACTGCAGCTAGAGACAGGGGTCATTTCGTAGAAAAAGAGGTGCAGGAGCTCATTAGCATAACTCATTAGCATGACTCATTTGCATATGCCACACACCCCCTGACATCACCGGAAGTGTGTCAGAAGGCAACACCCACCGCTCAGGCTCCACTGGACTCTTTTGGATTGCTAGCTGAGGGGATGTGCAGATCTGTTCCCACAGAGGAGGGAGAGCTTATACCTGAAGGCGGACCGGGGTGGGGGGGCTCTGCAACTTACCTGGGTGCTTCTCACTCCTCATGGCCCGACTGAGGGCTGCTGGGAACAGGGGGCGTGGCTTGTTGCATGTGCCCACCCCCTGAGCTCCTTACTGCCGCAGCTCCGCTCCTGTGCGCTCCTGCAGGAAATGACCCCTGGCTAGAGAACATACTGGAGCACAGGGATGTTTTTGTCTAATCTGCTTTAACCAAAAAAGAAGAAATACCAGTTCTGTTTTTTAAAGTGAGAACAGGGCGCGCTTGGGCAGCATAAACAGACGCGGCAGATAAATCCTGGAGCAACACGTCCTATTGGAAGCAGGCGGTGGTTTTGCACAGGGAATCCGGGTGTGAGAATACGGGTGGCCTGTCCTGATATTCACCTGTGAAGGGGGGGCAGGTATGTAGGGAGCCGCTGTAGCCTACTGGCTCAGAGGGCTCCAGACGCTCGCAGCTGAAATGTTGCCTCTGCTACAGTCACACCAGCCAGCTCCCTTTCAGCCTCCTCCTCCCCATCTGCAATCTATGAATAATACTGGCCAACCTTACAGGGCTGTTGTGAGGCCTACAAGACACTAACGTTCAAAGCACTACAGGCACTGAAAGCACTGTGTAAGATCAAGCGCCATTATTATGCAAATACTAATGGTCCCTTTTCTCCTATATAGATCAAGGCTTGGGGATCGGCACTGTCGTTGGAATAACTTTTGGGGCCTTTCTAATCGGAGTCCTGCTCACAGCAGCGTTGTGGTACATCTACTCCCACACACGTAAGTAGTGGCGTTCCTGAGGGCCAGACCAGGCATGATGCTGGGAGTTCTGTGGCTAGAGCTTCCAGTTGCTTTCTCTTTTTATGCAGCAGGCCTCAGGGCTGCAGTTCAGATCAGGGTGTGTGTGTGTGTGTGTGTTCGTGAATGTGTTAGAGCAGGGGTGTCAAACATACGGCCCATGGGCCGGAACCATGGGTCCAGGGCTCTTAGCTGGCCCACGAGCAACTGGTCATTTCCTTTACTGGGTCAAGGTACAATTTCTCCTTGCTTCACGAGATCCGGAGATCATTGAACTGACCGCTAAGTTTCTCCATGGTTTTATAAAACAGAAGAGTGACCCTGATCATATTAATGATTCTTAATTTATAAGTCTAAAAACTTAAGTTTAAAAGTTTAGCAGGCCAATTTATTTTATGATTCAGGCATCTTTTGTATGGTCAAATCTAGCTTGTGACAACTTGAGTTAGGCCTGACATAGCCACGACTATCTATTTTATAATTTCTTTTGGATTGTATTATTGGTAAATGCTTCTAATATTGTATGCCAATAAAAGGTATTTGAATTGAATACTGCCAGATGACAGAGACTGTGCATTATGTCCCGGGGCTAACGCGTGACAGGCAGAGGAAGTGGGAGGATGGGCATCAGGGAGATCCTGTAAGAGTGTTAATGTTTTCAGCACGTGTGTATTTTGAGTTAAAAATAATATCGTTCATTGGGTTTGCCTGTGTCCTTTATCAAGTTTCTATCTCTGGTACCTGGCATGACGTTTTATGGCACACGTGATTCAGACCTGACAAAGTGACATTTATATCAGATCCGGCCCTCGTAAGAAATGAGGTTGACACCTCTGCGTTAGCGTTCCCTCTAAGCTGTGTTAGGGTGAGCTAGCTCACAGTTTTTTAGCCTCCGGCTCACACATATTTTTGTCTTCGCTCAGGAAGGAGGGCTCCAGAGCAAGCTAATTTATGCAGCAGCCAAATCACTTGCTCCCAACTTTAATGCCAGTAGCTCACAAAGTAGAATTTTTGCTCACAAGACTCCACAGCTTAGAGGGAACATTTCCCAACTGCTGCGCCATATTCCTGACATGAAATGGGATGATGTCTGTTCACCTTGTTGGCACTGTAAGGTCTGGAAATAAAGGACAGGTAAACATGCTCATGAAAATGACAAAGGCATTTTTTTTAAAAAAAAAAAAAGCCCAAAGTACTTTTGTGGAAACTCTTTCCTACATTCCCTTCCTTTGACAAAGCATTTTATTGCTTTTTTAAAAGCAAACATATATTTCTTTTTGTGTTTTGTTTTTCCTTTCCCTGTGACTTAACAGCCTACAAGTCATACGTCGGAGCATTTTAATGAGTAATTTGCAGCTGCATAGATGCTTACGGCTAAATCACATGTGCACTTTTTCATCTCGCCTGATAGTAAAAATTTTCGTTTCTGTTGTTCAGAAATGTTCTGTAGACAGTCAGTCCAGGGAGTAATGTATCAGCCTTTTCCCCTGCCACACTCTGGATGTGTGTCTCTCCCCCCTCTCATTAAAAAGAATAAGAAAATGGGGAGATGGCCAGTGACACAACTCGTCTGTGGCTGAAGACCAAATGGGGTCAGTACCCTACTTCCTGTTCCTCACGCCGATCCACAATCTTCCATTCTCTCTGTAGATCATCACCCACCCATTCCTATCGTCTTGTATCCGCCAGAACCCCAGATGGTCTCACTATCAATCCACAGGCTGTAGCCAAACAGACAATCCCATCCCTTTATCTTCCATCCTGATTGCCTTGGCCAGAGTCCCCCTCGAACCGGGGAGGAAGAGAGAGCTGGTTTGTCTCCGACTTGTCAAAAGGCAAAATAACTGGCTGATGCTGACAGGAATTGGGGGGGGGGATCTGTATTTTTCCACGACACTGGCGGGGCACCCGTCGGCCACAGCCCAGCAGTGGCGCCCGTATGCTTTCTCTTCCCCTGGTAAACTCCGATTAGACCAGGTTGTAACCCTGCCTTTCTTCTCCCCCCCCTCCACCTTCTCCCCTTTTCCCGCCTTGTGACAAATCCCAGGTCCTCTGGCCAAGATGCAGCCCGTCTCTGCGAATCCCCCCGCCTCCGAGAGCAGCAGCACCAACCACAGCATCGGCAGCACGCAGAGCACCCCCTGCTCCACCAGCAGCATGGCATAGCAACTTCGGACCGGGGACCGGACAGGGCCACCGACCCCTCTTTAGGGGGAGGTGTCAGAATTGTGGACGGTTAACCTTCTGCCAGTCAGGAACAGGGAAGCCTCTTACTGGAGAGGGCAAAAGAGAGGCTGTGTGTGTGGGGTTTTTTAAAGCTCCTCGGAGTGACCAATTTCAGCCAGCACTTTAAGGCGACTCCCCGGGCAGCCATCAAGAGCTCCAGCCGAGCAGGATCCTTCTGCCGACAATTTCCGGCACCGTCCGTCACGCTGAGACACCCCCACCCCCCAACCGGTTCTTTCTGCAGGGGACGCCCGGTCAGCCTTTGGCTCACAAGCCCACCGTTGTCATCCTGGCGAGCCAAGCCTTTAGCCCAGGACTGGATGGTTCCAGCTGATTGATAACAGAACCCAAAGTGCCTTTTTTTCAGGGCACTCTTTGCATCTTGGAGGAAGGGTTCGGAAAATGTACTAGACAGAGACGATAGCGACTAGAGCGTTCTCGGTTCCCGTAGCAAAGAAACAACAAAAGGTTTTTAGTGGGCATTAAGGAAGGGACTTTCTTCTCGGTTATGGTTCTTAAACTGCCGGCAGCAGGCCCGAGAAACACGCCGGAATCATTTACTGTCCCCGTTTTCTGGCCCTGCTCAATCACTGACCCTTTTTTGGCCTGGGAGGGGGAGTCCCTTGTGAACCTTTTGCTCGCATCCGTTGTCCTCTTTCAAGGTTCAGCTCCTGCCCCAGGGTCACTAGTCCTCAAGGTAGATGTCCTCAGCAAACATGAGCCTTCGGGGTAGGGCGGGATATAAATTCAAATATAAATAAATAAATAAATAAAATGCATAAAGACCAAGGTGCCCAGTGGCTCACAGCCTGACCCTTTGCATGCTGGCAAGACCCTTTTCAAACTCTTCCTTACAGCTCCTGTGGCCTTTTTGAGTACATCTTTAGGCAAAGGAAGACAAACACGCCAGTTTGGTATAGTGGTTAAGTGTGCGGGCTCTCATCTGGGAGAACCGGGTTTGATTCCCCACTCCTCCACTTGCACCTGCTGGATGACCTTGGGCAAGCCATAGTTCTGACAAGAGCTGTCCTTGAAAAAGAGCCGTTCCTGTCAAGAGCTCTCTCAGCCCCACCCGCCTCACAGGGTGTCTGTTGTGGGGAGGGGAAGGGAAAGGAGTTTGTGAGCTGCTCTGAGACTCTTTGGGGTAGTGAAGGGTGGGGTATAAATCCAATCTCTTCTTCTTCTTCTTCTTCTTCTTCTTCTTCTTCTTCTTCTCCTCCTCCTCCTCGGCTGTTCAAACCAGGCAAGGGGGGCTTGGGGCAGAGACTGTGAATGCACCATCCAGCGGAGGGAGGAGGCGTCAAGCCATTGGGAGGGGGACTGGCCTGGATGGCTGGATGGATGGCCTGGATGGCTGAGGCTACCCCAACTGGGTCAGATCTCGGAAGCTAAGCAGGATCACCTCTAGGTCGTATCTGGATGGGAGAGCAGCACCAAGGAGTTCCTGGGTTGCTGGGTAGAGGGAGGCAATGGCAAGCCACCTCTGAACACCTCTCGCCTTGAGAGCCTTACAGGGTCACACCGCAAGTCAGCTGCTTGACGGCCAAAACTCCCCAAAACCATCCTGAATGAATACGGGCCTTTGGGTCTCATGTTACCCAATCTCAGTGGGACAATTCGGACTTCCCCTGGTGCTACAGCCGCTTACCTTCCTTTGACCAACGCAGAGGACAGTCAGATGAGGGAGCACGCAGCGGGGAAAGCCTGTTTCAGCACTACTGCCTTGGAGCCTTGGGTCTGGATGAGCCGTGTGTCTGGATCGATGCTCCCTCTAAGCTGTGTGGTCTCGTGAGCAGAAATTCTACTTTGTGAGCTACTATTAAAGTTGTGAGAGAGCGATTTGGCTGCTGCATAAATCAGTTTGCGCTGGAGACGTCCCTTCCTGAGCTGAGATGAAAATCTGTGAGCTGGAGGCCAAAAAACTGTGAGCGAGCTCTCCCTAACTCAGCTTAGAGGGAACATTGGTCTGGATCCTGCAGTTTGGCCAGGGATCCTGGAGGGTTTTTGTCGTCTTCTGGGCATAGAGCAGGGGTCACTAGGGGTGTGAAGGGGCAGGAATTTGTGCATTTCCTGCATTGTGCAGGGGGTTGGACTAGATGACCCTGGAGGCCCCTTTCAACTCTATGATTCTATCATTCTCAGAAGAAGAAAAAGATTAGATTTATACCCCGCCCTACAATCCCCTTTCCCTTCCCCTCCCCACAACAGACACCCCCAATGTTCCCTCTAAGCTGTGGAGTCTTGTGAGCAAAAATTCTACTTTGTGAGCTACTGGCATTAAAGTAGTGAGCAAATAATTTGGCTGCTGCATTAATTAGTTTGCTCTGGAGCCCTCCTTCCTGAGCTGAGACAAAAATGTGTGAGCCAGAGGCTAAAAAACTGTGAGCTAGCTCACACTGACTCAGCTTAGAGGGAACCCTGCTTGACGGTAACAACAACCAGGGGTCATTTCCTGCAGGAGCGCACAGGAGCGGAGCTCCGGCAGTAAAGAGCCCAGGGGGCGGGCACATGCAACAAGCCCCACCCCCTGCTCCCAGCAGCCCTCAGTCAGAGCAAGAAGCAGCCAGGTAAGTTGCAGAGCCTTCCCCGGCTCCCCGGTCCAAAACAGTCCAGTGGCACCTTTAAGACCAAGTTTTATTCAGGTACAAGCTCTCCCTCCTCTGCAAGGACA